TGACGTCTTGTTGCATCCAAGATGGCAGACATTTTGATATGAATACAGTATTGAATCAGAGCAATTCGACCTCCGGTAGTCTTATCAAATAATTATGTTAATTACAAAAAAGCCATCGTCAACTTTTTCTTTAGTGATGATTCAGCTCTAGAAAGAGAAAATTTATGGACTGCGTTTTGTTTTGGCAACCAAGATATGACAACGTTTCTTTACATTGTAGAAGAAGTCAAATATGACGGTGTTCTTGGGAGCATTCCAATCACCAGCTTTCTTTAATTTTGTTAGTGTTTGTAATTCCAAGGTCAAGTCAACTTTTTTTCTGTTTTCTATTATTTACCCGTTATTAACTCCATACAAATGAAGTTTGTGGATTTAGAAACTGAAATCCTATTTTCCCAGAATGCCTAACGCTAGCGGCTTCTAGGTAACCTGGCAATGTTTTCAACTTGATGACGTAATTCCTGTACGTATCACGCTTCCAGCAGCGCTATTTCTGTTTCCTGTTTTAACTGTTATCATTTGAAACCACAGCGTGTGAAGTTAATATACATCGATAAACGTGAACAAAATTGGCGTCAAGTTAAATTTTTATCGGTGTTTTGTGGACGAAACAATAAAATATTCCCTTGAAAGCCGACACCGAACAGTATGAATATACAAAGTCAATACTTATTGTATTGAGCTATTATTTTCTTGTTGTTTTTCCTGTCGGCAAACTGTATAGTAGATTACAGTCTAAAACCTGTTTTCAGTCCATTCAACGAGATAAAAAAAAAAAGAAAAATCATAAATTATTAAGAAAATACAGTGCCGTTTTTCCTAGTGAATGAAGCGCCTGCCTTTTAACTCGGTTGGAGATTTCAGCCTAAATTTTGAAGTTAATATTCACGTTTCACTACTCTTTTGAAAGCTTTCATTTTTGCCGACACCAACATTCTGTTGACAATTCCATGGCCTTAATTGAATTGAACACCTCTTGACATTGGAGAGTAAATGAAAGCAATGATTACTGCAATGGAAAATTTCATTCAAAAATATTCTTCCATTAAATTGATCTAATTGATGTGGGTGCGGATAATACAAAGTCAAAGAAGTTAGAAAACTTGAAGCAGATGTTTCGTGAGTATGATTTTCTTTACAAGTGGAAAAGAAAAAAGTGTTGTTGGTCGGAGCTTTTTGTCCTGCAGGCGTTTACAAACTTTAAACTAGTATCTCGATTTAAACAAAGACTCTGTTGGAGGTTAGTCAGTGATTACAATATATATTTACATAAAACAAGAAACCTTGTTCGCTTAATTTAGAGCTGAAAACGCAAGGGATAACAACCACTTTGTCTTTGAATTGCTGAAGGTGCAAGGCATCAACTTTTATTGCATGCATGATCGGTGAGTTGATAACTTTATTTTTTTACTCTAATGGTAATGAACCAAAGAGTGTTCTCTACTATTTAGGAATGTTAAATTCTACTAGGAGACCAATAACGAAAGAGAAAGGAAAGGGAGATATCAGGCATAGGTGATGAGTTAGTTGAAGACCCCTTGACCATGCAATAAGAAACCCAATCCGTGAGTATTTTTCTGAGCCACCGAAAGACTTTTTCACTTTTATTAAAACAGTAGGAACTGCATGAGGCAAAATGTTCATTTTATGAGATCATCCCAGGCGGTGTGAAAGAGCTGTGAGATTCAGTGCAATTTGTGACAAGAGACAGCTGTTTGTTTCATTACTCTCACGAGTAATCAACACCTAATTTCTCCCAACAATATCTATACGTTGTCAAACAGACAGGTAATGAGAATAAGGAAAATCGTCAACCAGTTGAATTAACCTTGATGTAACACCAAATTCTCAAGTTGATATCTTAAATATCATTGATCATGAGTAAGGAGAATTGAATTTTTGAGATTGGGAACTCGCAGGATACATACAAGTCG